ATCAACTATGAAAGACTTAGTAACTCTGACCAACACAATGACCAAAAACAATTCCAAAGGACTCAAGAACTAAAGGATTCAGAGTGCAGAATGAAGCATATTTTCTACTTCTTTTTTTTTCTCCTGGGAACATGGATAATGTGGAAATGTGTTTTGCATGTCTATTAAAAAAAAAAAAAGCATTTCTTACTTGCTCATTATGAACCAGGCACTGTGTGAAGAGCTGGGGATACAAATTCCAGAAAGCAATACAGTGCCTAGTCTTCAAGAAGTTTATTTTCTAATAAAGGAAGACAGTACGCAAGGAGGGAGGGAGAAGGTAAGGTGGCAGATTTGAAAATGGCCAGGAATTGCAGTGGAGGTCTAGTTCTGGCCTAGATATGGTGAAAGTTCACCTATTACAAATGGTCAGAGGGAGACAAGTATGGTTAGAGTATGGGTGGCATGGTTTAGAAATGGTGTGTGGAAAAAGGACACCATGAAGTAAAATGTCAGCCTAAGAGAAATGGGAGATGTTAAAGAATAAAATTCTGAAGATACAAAGGGAATACAGTCCAATGAGGAGAAAAAACAATATTTGTCCGAAGAGACCAATGCAGATGCATAAGGAGTTCACCTAATAACTTAGATTTTTAAAAAGAAATATGTAAAAACTGGAAGTATAGCCAGGTAATATAAGATGAATATAAGAACATGGCATTGAACAGGAAAAATCATGCCAGGAATGCTCAAGTTCAGAACGAGCTAAGACTAGTGAAGGAAGCTAAAGATAACAAAAAGGATTTTGTTTGTTTTTACCTATATTGCAAGAAAAAGCAGGATAAAGGGATTTTTGCTTGAAGTAGATGGCACAATAATAGCTTATAATAGAGAGAAGGCAGAGCTGCTGAATTTTTATTTATTTCTGTTTTCTCTGCAACACAGAATAATCTTTATACTGGAAGATGGCAGAACAAAATTATTAAGCAGGGATTAAGACACAAGATAGTAAGGAAATAATATGAGAACACCTAGCTGTCCTCGATGAATTCAAGTCTTTTCACTCAGATGAACAGCATCTCTGAGTCCTAAAAGAATTGGACGATTTCAATATTGAGCCACTGTCAGTTTGTTCTTCTCTTCAAAAATTCTGAAAAATGCCAAATAAAATGAGCATTTCTATTTACAAATTAGATCAGAAAAATAAGGGTGTACTTGAAGCCATGAATCTGGACTGAAAGTAGAACCAGAAGCCTTAGGAGGTAGGGAAGGAAGACTCTCCTGGTATACTTTCAGGAGGATCTTGTGCTTATTACCTGCCTGTTGATGGCAGTAAATCAGTAGTTGTTGCTAATGGAAGCAAGGGCTGGGATGGAAGCAAGGTTGGTGGTTTGAGGGGTACTGCTGTTCCCAAAGGTCTTGGATTAAAGGTCCTGGATTATCTCCATCAAAGTCTAAGTGAAGATGGTGGCTGAGGTTGTAGGTTGTTTGACTCACTTGGCATAAGCATAATTATGAATCTGGGAGACTGGAAAGATGGTGGTACCTTCAACAGAAATAAAAAAGTTTGGAAAAGCAGAGGGTTTTGAGGAAAAGGAATTTCAGTTTTATACATGGTGAGTTTGAGATGTCTCTGGAACATCTGGGCTGAAATATCCAAGAGGCAATTGGTAATATGGGACTGAAACTTAAAGTAGAGACAAGGGCTGGACATATAGATCTGTGAATAATCTGAATAGAGATATTAGTTAAACTCATGGCAGCCCTAGTGCAGAGGTGAGGAATCTGGGGCCTTGAGGCCACATGTGGCCTCTTAGGTCCCTGGGTAAAGCCCTTTGACTGAGCCCAAGTTTTACAGAACAAATAAGTTTTGACTCAGTCAAAGGGCCAAACTTGAGGGCCTAGAGGACCACATGTGGCCTCAAGGCCACAGGTTCCCCAACCCTGCCTTAATCTATTTCCTGAGCTCTAGTCCAGAATTAGCAATGTCAGGAGCCCCATGCCAAGACCACCCCTCTCTTTTTACTATTAGGAGACACCGTGTTTTCAAGAGATAAGGCTCACCAAGCAAGCTGTGCCGTGAGCTTCGTATAACAACAATCCTTTGCACTTACCCTCTGCAAAATCCCAGAACTGTTTCACACCAACCCCAGGTGGTCCCTGAGCTCAGACAAGTACCTGCAATACCATGCTCTGGTCAAGAATTCCTGCTATGAATCAAATTTGTTTCATTGTTGCTGTTACCCCTCATTGTCAGGGCTATAGCTCACTACATAGCCACTAGTATATGTACTGAGATTTGCCCGCAATAAAGCGGGTCTCCTCGGTATCAGAGGAAGACCCAGCATATTCATACAGTTTCCCTCCTCTACTGGAATAAAGAAAGCTTTTTGCTTATGACTACTGTTAGTTCTTTGGTTTTATTTTCTTATGGGTTTTTTTTCATTTTATTTTATTTTTCAGAGTTAATTGTAGTTGTGATAACCTGTGTGAGCTCTTTGGCATTTTTAGAGTCAACAGCAGTTACATAACCTCTATTTTTAGAGTTGACACCAGCCATTTCCACACAGCTCCCATAGGCATCTCAACCAACATGTCTAAAACTGAAAAAATTATCTATCTTCCCAAACCCACCTTTCTTTGTTTACTTTGGAGTCAGAGAACCTGAGTTCAAATCCTGCCTCTGTTACTTAGCTAGCTGTATGACTTTGGACAAGTCACTTAACTTCTCTGGCTTCAGTTTCCTCATCTATAAAATGAAGGGATTAGAACAGATGGCTCTAAGTTCTCATCTAGGTCTAAATCTCTTTCTGTGATCCTATAATCTAAGGATTATAGTATCTATTATTATATTATATATATTATAATATAGTATACTATATTATAGTATATAAGTATTACTACTTCCCCCTACTCAATAAATGCCAGTGGCTACCTTATTTCTAGAAACGAATAAAAACTCCTACATCCTTGCCAGCTCCTCATATCCTTGCCAGTCTTCTTACAGATTACTCTCCTCCACATACTCATGGTCCATCCATACTATTCACATTATTCCTGATACAGTATACTCCATTTCCCATTCCATACTTACTGTGCACCCCATGCCTCCAAAGCTCTCCCTCCTCACCTAATCTTCTTAGAATCACTGGTTTTCTTCAAGATTGAGTTGAACTACAGCTTTCTGCAAGAGCTTTACCTCACCCCCAACTTGGTAGTGCCTTCTCTCTAACATTATCTTTCATCAACTCTGTATATATCTTGTATATACCTATTTATGTACACATTGTTTCCACTTGGGGTTTGATTTCAATCCACTTCAACATGTCAGTGAAATAGAGAACTGGTCTTTTATTAGCCTAATGAACAAATATGATCTGATGGGTGTCAAGGTCCCCACCCCAAGACCACTCCTCTTTTTCTCACTCTTCTCTTTTCATAATTAGGAGACACTCTTTTCCAGAAATAAGGCCTGGCAAGTAAGCTGTTCCCTGAGTTTGGCATAACAAGTCCTTTGCACTCACCATCTGGATGAACTCTGTTGCAACTAAATCACAGAACTGACAGTCCCTGAGCTCAGGCAAACACCAGCAAGAGCTATGTCAGAGTAGTAAGGCCCTGCTCTGAATAGACTTTTTGTTATCTGGCAGCCTATTATGCCTCATCCCTGTTGCCATACCTCACTCGATTCTTTGTCTAGCCACAACTATATGAATCAAAGCTTAGCCTCAGAGCCTGGGCTTCTCCTCAGTCCCTGAGGAGACCACGGCATGCATACCTAGTTTCCCTCCTCTAACAGAATAAAGAAGGCTTTTTGTCTATAAGCTCTCCAAGCTCTCTGGTATTTTATTTTATTTTTCAGACCTGACAATTGGTGTAAAACTTTTTGCTATAAACTGTTGCTTTTTGGTCATATATTTTTCAGAGCTGACAATTGGTGTATAACCTCTGTAAGCTCTTTGGTATCTTCAGGGTTAACATGGGTGATACTAGTAACACCAGTACAATTACTATACAATTACTATACTATACAATTACTACTATATTCTCTTTTACTTGTTGCTTGCTCTAGTTAATGATTTGGGAGATTGGGAGATTTTCATGTATTGTTCTGCAAGGTCTGCAGAATAACATTAGCCTGAAATACGTACAGACAGATTCTACTGCTAAAGCATAGCTGACTTGTGAAAGACTGAGGTTATTAAGCTAGTCTGAATTGTTTTAGGGGCTGTGAATGTGGGATAACAAATCCTGGAAAATACTTTTATAAACAGGTGAGCACAAGGGCCTCCGGGGAGAACATGAGTTAGATCTACTTCCAATTTGTCCTGTATGTAGCTTGTTTGTATGTATTTATTTACATGTTATCTCCCCTATTAGATTGTGAGGTCCTCAAGAACAGGGACTGTTTTTGCTATTTTACTCTCCAGCCCTTGGCCCAGTGTCTCATACGCCCTAGTGTTCCATACTATCATCACAGTAATCATTTAATAAGTGCTTGCTGATTGATGGATGGATTGATTTCCCTATAATCGTTGTGTGGGGAGGTTAGTATAAATGGGATTACTCCTGTTTTACAGCTGAGGGAACGAAGACCCAGGAAGGTGACGTAACCAGTTGGTCACACAGGTAGACAGTATTCCTAGTGGGGACGGGTCCAAGATCCCTTTCCCCCTGGACCACGCTGATACATCAAGCAACGTCCGGGACTTACATATACACATACATCACCTGTGCTGAAATCCAACTTTTCTCAAACGACCAGTGTTTAAGGGGGGGTGCTGTGGCAATCGAAAGAAACGCTTCCTTATCTTCTCTTTCCTAATTCTCCCTGCAGCACCTCCTATTAGCTCGGGGACGGGGACGGAGAGGCCGGGAAGTGGTCAAAATGGGAGGGGGGGCTCAATTTGCCAGTGGTTTTATCAGCACATTTTCCTTCTTCTCTCCTCAGAAGAAAGTCAATTTGTCGTACGGTTTTGTCCGACGGGGGGTGGCAACCTCTGCATTTCTTCTCTCCTTACCTCGTTCGCAAGTCCCGACCTCCACACTGAAAGCCGGAGTCTTCCTTCCCCCCACGCCGGGCGACCCCTCTGCCTCGGCCGCTTCCGCTTCCGGGCTGCCGTGCTCCCGCTTTCTTGTTCTTAAAGCGACAGCATCATAATTCTAACTCGAGCTTGGACTCAAATATTTAACTTCCAAGGATTGTAATAGCTCGTTTTGACTAGGGCTTTGCAATCGGTAAAGTGTTTTCCTCAAAGCAAGACTGTGAAATAATGTAAAGTGTCATCCGTCTTGCAGAAAAGTAAATTGAGATGGATAATTCAGAGAGGTAAAAAGGATAATTATCAGGACCTGTTATTCAAACTCCTCTATTTTCATTACACCACAGTGCCTCTCAAACTGAAGGAAATCAATGAAAAATATTTTTTCCTTTAAGTTTCATTGTCACATGAATTGCAATATATGCACCCGTGTCACATAACTTTTCCAAGATTGCGTCTAGCTCAAAATTTGTGGTGTTATAATATTAGGACCTCATAAAAGGAGAAAGGAAGGGGCAGGTTACAACAGTGGTGCTAAAAAACACCGTGGTTCCACTGAAATATTTTTTTTAATGTATAGGAGAGAACAGAAGGAAGTTCAAAAGGAAGAACAGACCAGCAGATAACAGTAAGTGTAACCCGGGGCTCAAAGGTCATTTGCCAAAGACTCTCCTGTTAAAGGTGATTAATTACTCCGTGTTCCTTCTGGAGGAGTTGGGGAAAGCTTGACTGAGAAGAGATCTTGATCTTCTGGTGTCTGGAGATATTCTGCTAGGATAGGGTCCTGAAGGGATGACTCTCCAATCTACTTATCCAACCCTAATCTCTCTATTGACCACTAGTTTTTTATCTCCAATTGCTTCTTATACAGCTTGAACTTGAGTCCTTATAGACATCTTAAATTCAACCCTTCCAAAACTGAATTCATTATCTTTCCCTCTAAATACTTCCCCCTTCCAAGCTTCACTATTATTATCAAGAGTGCCACTATCTCAGAGGACACTGTCAGTCACCCAGGCCACAAACCATGTCAGCTCCATACTTAAATTCCAGAATAAAATTAAAACAGACAAAAAAAAAAAAAAAACCAAACCAGAACTCTGTTTTGCATTTAAAGCTCTTCATAACCTAGCCCCACCTTTCCAGTCTTCTTGAATCTCCTCCCCCCAACCCTTTTTAATGTGTAGATTTGGTTAATAAACCGACTTGCTTAGAGTATATAGCCAATTAGCATCATACTGTGGTAGTGAAGTAAAGCTTAGCTAACAAATGAATTGTTAGATCCCCCTATTTGTAAAAGAAATGAGAACCTCCCAAATCTGGTGGTGACAGGGTTATTACAAAAGAGAGAAAAAGCCTCAGGTTGCAAAACTAGACTATTTGAGGTGTTGAAGGGTTCTTGTCAGCACATCAAAACCAAAATGAAGATTCTTAATCACATAGAACATTTCTAGAATGGTGTTGGTCTTTCTCCACACTATACATATTTCCTTCCACCAAATTCACACTTGTCCATGCAAAGTGTTCAAATTGCTCCCTTGCGTGCAAGACATCGTGAGCAGGTTGCTCTTCAGTGCCCATCTGCAGCAGTTACCCCAAGCTAGATGATTTAGGGAACTTTGAAGGCTCTGTTGACCTTTTTAAGATGACAAGTACATAAATTAGTCAGTTCTGTCTTTAGTATTCCACCTAACATCAAAAACGAAATACATAGAGACGAACAGTGGCTACGTAGTGGCCTAGATGGGAAGATAAGACCACCAGCAGCAATGCTGGCCACCTCTTTCTCCTTAGAGGTCTATAACATTTCTTCCTCAGTTATGACTAGAAAGGAGAGAGAGGCTAAGTTCCTCCACTGGAGTTTTCTGTATGCACCCTCCATTCTGGCTCAGCAGCCAATTAAAATGCTTTTCTTTACTACATAGTAAAGGAACAGTTGACGGTCACAGAATACCTGCAGATTCTCTGAATCATGTATAGGACCCATCCATTATACATCATCACAAGTTTCCAGAAGCAGGCTCCTTAAGCATCCATGTGGCAGAGAAAGCAGCATAAAATCATAGGACTAGGCCCCTCTCAGCCAGTCTATTTGGTAGTGAATGTAAACTCCTTGAGAGCAAGGATTGTTTCACTTTCTGGTTTTTATATCTACAGCAATGAACACAGTGTCTGGAACATGATAGGTGCTTTAAAAATTCTTATTATTCGATTGTAAGGATCAAACAAGCTAATAAATGAATTGTTGCAGTCTGGGAGGTTGAGACCCTTCAAAGACTGGAGTACAGGATGGGGTGATCTGGCATGAATTCACAGACTCAAGCATTCTTTGAATCAAGTTGGCAAAGATTTACTGTTATGCTATAGAGCGGCAAGGATTCTTATTGAGGATGGAGCTGGGGTTTATATGGAAAAGGGCACAGGAAAGGGATGCCAGGGATACCAATTAGGTAATCTAAAGGTCCAGTTGTCTCTGGGAGCTATGGATGGGAAAGTGTAGGTAGTATACCAGACAGGCAGGGAGATGTCAGAGGATCTTGGGGATCTGGTGGGAGGAAGAGTCCCTGGGCCAGCCAGGGACAAAAACTCCTTGGACCAAACAAGACACCCCTCTCTCTCTGTCCTGATTAGCAACAAGGAAAAGTTTTCTCACGAGACAGGATCTTACTAAGGAATTGGGAGGCTTCCAGAGACATGATCTTAGGGCTAGGGGCAGCCCAGCACTCTCTCACCCAGCTTTGTGTCACCAGGGAGAGAGGTAAGTGTTTTGCTGAGGCCCACTCATGAGTAATTGCTAGAAACAGTGTCCTTTGGCTGGGGGAAGACTGCCAGGAATAGTGTTTCTGAGGCCAGGGAGAAATTGGGGTCCAAGCACAGGCACCCAAACACCCCATCAGTATTATTTTAGTTATGTCCGCACTTCAAATTCAAACCTATCCATTCTTTTTCTGGTCTTATTAGCTTATTAAAGAAGTGGTATGGAAAGAAAACCAGTCTCAGAGTCAGAAAGACCTGGGTTTTCATCCTACCTCTTGCTTTTGTGACTCTGAACAACTTACTTAACCTTTTAGTGCCCTAGTTAACTCTAAGACTAAAAGAAGTCACTAACATGCACTGATAAAGGCGTCACCTAACCCGGATCTCCCTACACAAGATGAGTGATACATTAATATAAGTTATTACAATTATTCTGCATTTTCTCCTTTCCACTCTGTTTTGCAGCTGCAGTGGTTATTTGTCTAGCAAAGGATGAACTTTCGAATACAGAGATCACTGCCTTAGTGGTCCCTGACATGCTCCAGGCCTGCACAAGATAGCTTGCCCTTTGAAAAAGAGCAGCATAGTTAGGTTCTCTGTCCTTGAAGGCTGAAATCTCATTTCACTGAAGCTATGCTGACATCTGGTGGTAGTTTAGATAACTTCTAATATCAAATGCATCTGAGCAGAAATTGTTGGAATTTAGGACATTTGTTCATAGAGAACTTGAAGGTTTACAAAGCATAGCCCTCACAGCAAACCTGTGTGGTATTATGAAATGTATTTGGATATGTGTAACTTGCAACTCTCTGTTTTAATTCAACTGTTATTAGGTTTGAGTTTGTTGTCGTTTTAAAACACTGTAATGGTATGCTAATAGAACCTATTGGTGTCCCACAAGAGTGATCTAGGTACCACAAAAGTTAAAAAAAAAAAAGTATTGAACTGCGCGAATCACAAGAGAGATGGTCCCTAGATTCAAAAGGCAGTCTATCAGCATCTTGGGGACAATCGTAGAGATGTAAAATTAAGGAAAGATAAATAATTAGGAAGTACATAGATGCGTGGATGCAGGGATCAAGATCATAACCTCTTTGGCCACTAGAGGCCCTGGAAATGATAGTAAAAGGTATTGAAGATGATAATAAACAGGAGGCTTGATATCCTCTTGGGACTAAAGAGCCTATTAAGAATAATTTATATTGAAATGGACCTTGGGCCACTCAAGATGAAGTTGTGACATATAAAAAGTTTGGGATATAGTTTCTGGGTAATTAATCGTTTTATCAATTATGCTAGCAAATAATTAATAAAAGGATGCTTATTTGACCATCTTTCCTAAACCAAAGACCCCTTAGGGAAGCCACTCAATGCTTATATGCTCTTGGAAGAGTGGGTATTCCTGAAGGTAGAAATCAACTCTGATTAACAAGTAATGAGAGAATGAATATTATAATGAGAAGTGAACTTAATCTAATGAAGGTCTAGGGGATGTGACTTTCATCACTCAGTCTTGGACAAAAATTTCTTCTCAGACCACCCCAGTCTAAGGCAATCTAGACAAAAGGAGCAATCCACTTTGACTAAGAACCAATTCACCTAAACTGGAATTTCTTTATCTTTTGATCAGATCTAAGTTTTCCCAGTTGGGAAGGCTGTCTAAACAGCCTACAGGGTTGATTTCTGAATGAGGAAATAGAAGGGGGGAAAACCTTAGTCCTAATTCAATAACTGGTTATTAATATAAGAGAAAAATAATCATTTTTCTCAGAGTCAACATAGGGAAGAAAAATCATCCGTAAGTATAATTATTGTCTGACCTACCCCAGGCTTGAAAGAAATCAATAGAATCATTGAAATCTAACTGTGAAGGAAGAATGAATGTCAGAGTGAAGAATGAAAAAATGTAGAGCCTTGTAGCACCCACAAATTCATAGGGTAGTTCCCCAGAAGGACAACCAGAGTTTCAAGGTTATCCCTTAAGCCATAGCTCATAAGCGCGTCCCACTGACAAAGGTTTCATTCAGTTTCAGAAGCAGAAAAGTTCCTTTTCCCTTTGCCCCTTTTCGCCAAAAGGAATTTGGCCCCTTTGTTTACAGACCCCAGAAGACCCTTAAAACTTTTAGATTCCTTGTAGACTCACTTTATCTCTCTTTGAAAGCTTATTCAAATGCACCTTTACCCCTAGCCCTAAAAAGAAGTTTGTCTACAGGTCCCAGAAAACCCTTAAAACTTTTAGGTTCTTTATCTATTCTCTTTATCTCCCTTTGAAAGCAAACTTCTACCTTTCA